AGCCCAAAGTGAGCATCCTGCACCGTACTGTTGAATCCAAACTAAATCAAGTTTGGTTATCACATTTTTGATGATTAGAGACTCTTTTGATCAAAGATTTGATCAAATTGAACTCACCTTACAACTAGAGGGATGCTCAGGTTACACATCAGGATCATGGGAATACTCAAATAGCAGCAGTAAATGAATAGTAAGTTTCAATATGCCTTTATATAAGCCAGTTATTTTAATTTCTTCGTTCTTCATCCGGCCTCCTCTTCCAGATTATGGCACCTCTACAGTGATTTGTGTACTTGGTTATGGATTTCTCTTAGGTTATGGATTGTGATGGATGAGTGTTTTTAGTGTGTGATGTGTTGTTAGTTATGTATTAGTTTCATTTGGTTTTGTGTATGACGTATCTCTTTATACTTTTTAGTTCAATTGTTAAGTGTATTGATATCAATTTCTGGCTGATTGGTATTACTTCTTCATCATGATATCAATATAATGTTTATTGTTCTTGATTTTTAATCTGCTCTTGAAATGTGTGTTGAGCCTATATGAAAATCTCTAAAAAAATTTCTTACACGTGCTATATCCTTATAAGTGCAATAAGCAAAATTAATTGCATTAGAAAATTTAAATTTTTCTTATATTTTAATTGTGGCTTGTATAACTTAATGCTAATTTAGCAATATTGCATATTTCTCATGTCTCTGTTAGACTAATTTAAATTTTCATATTATTATTGCATAATTGGTGATAATTTTCTTACTTTTCGGTATTTCTATTATTTCACATATAATTAATTATTGTAGCTTAGAAATAATTTTGAAATTTTATTGTTTATTTTTTTGGAAAGATTTGATAAACCTTGAAAATTATACAAATATACAAAATCAAAAAGAATGCGCACATGATTCGTATTTTGAAAATAAGTGCACAAAATAAGTACAATAAAAAGATGCACAAAAAAGCTGCACAAATATTGAAAGATACGCAATCACCAAAAGATTGTTTTGTTGATTCTTTATTAGATCTTTTCAATCTTTTAATTCAATTAATCTTTTGCAATGATTTTTATTTCTCGTCATTGAAATTTGAAATATATAAATTTTATTTCATTTCCTTATATTGCCAATGATATTTTTATCTCAATGTTACAATTGACTCATGTTTTGATAAAATCTTCTTACTATCGATGATATATACGTTTTCTAAATCCTATTAATTCTTAATTCTATTTGCCTAAGTTATTTGATTTATTTGGCAAATTTATTTAATACGACTTTTCACGGATTAATCATAAGAAGTTTATCATATGACTTCTCATTTTTTTGTTCTTTTCTTCTTTTCTTCTTTTTGTTGTTGTCAAAGGGGAAGAAATATTTTATTTGTTCTCCTGTATTTATGTTCAGAATATTTTTTGTTTTGTATCGTATCGTGTCTTGTATTGGTTTATAAAAATTAAATAAATAATAAAAAAAGAGAAACATTGTTCGTGCAATGCTCATTATTCTCAATGTTATCCATTAATGAGGAGTTAGGAGATTCTTAAATTACTGAAGTATACAATACAAGATACATTATTTGCCATCATCAAAGGAGAGAATTCTGTTAAGAAAGTTGCTATTTTTGCATGTTTACATTCTTGCCAACTTGTTAGTTTTGATGATTCAATATTATTGTTTTATCTCCTAACACATTTTTGGAAGAATTAGTTTTTGCTCTTAGTGTGGAGCAACTATTTCAGAGAAACATCGAACTCCAGACTAAAGAAGACTTCAAATCAAATTCGAGCATGAAGATAGTTTGTAAATGAAGTTTTGTATTTTCATTGTATTGAGATATTGAGAGAATATATTGTAAATTGAGTAGCTTAGCAACACACAAATAACAAAAAAAAAACAAAAAAAATGGGAGATCTTTAAAAAATCATAACTGATCGTTCGGTGGACAAACCAAGTTTTTACGTTGGAGCGAACCAAGTTGTATACGGGACGAGTCAAAGTCTGTTCATCCCCTCGGAAGAGCAATGGAACGAACAGATGAGAAATTTCTTTCTAAGTCTGATCATGCAGGCGAATTTTTCCATATTGTCCCTGGTACGATGTTCTCTTGGATTCTCACAATGAACTGTTCGTCCGGACTAAATGGACGTTTCTTCCGGACGATCGTTCTCTGGATTCTGAGATTGAACTGTTGTCTCCTGCGAGAAATTGGCTAGATCGCCCAGGACGATCTCTCTGGATCTCTGAGATTGAATATTCGTTCAGCTAAAATTGCTAGTTCGTCCTGGACAGATCTACCCTGGATTCTGCAGTTCTGTAACTGTTTCGTCACGAAAATGGACCAACTTCTGTCTGACGATGCCTCGGGTTTCAAAGGTTTGTGCTGTTCGTCACGAAACATGAACATGTCCGTCCCAGGACGATTATCTCTTTCTTTGACCAATGGAACCAATTTGCAGTTATGTTTTGTTATGCTTTAAATATGTTCGTACCAGGACGAACGATAGTTCTGTACGGGTACGATGATCGTCGTACGAAGTCAACATGTCCCAATACACATGGGTCGTATGCAACTGTTTTAACTTATCGTATCAGGACGTCTGACGATCATCCTGGGACGCATCGAACTGTGGTACAGACTTCAAGAAAGTCAACAGTTTTTGGATTATTTTTTGTCTTTACTATATAAGGTTTACTTAAAACTGTCTGTATAATTTTTTGCTACGATTTTCGTGTTCAATTGAAGGGAGAGGAGAGAAAAAAAGAGTGTGAGAGAGTGTTTGAGGAAGGATCTTACTACTATGGAACAGCGTGAAGGATTCACTTGGTACTTCAAAGGAAGAATCTCTCACTTGTGATTGTGATACTTCATTATTTTTCTTGGCTATCTCTCTAGAGTTCTTGTGAGAAAGATCTGGTCAGGAGATCCAGTTCTCTGCTTTTAACTTTTGGCAGAGTGGGGTGAACAGGCCATGAAGGGTTTTCTGCCTACACTTGGAGGGGTTGTTGAACAGCCGAAGGGTTTCTGCTACATTTGGAGGGTTGTGAAAGCCGAAGGGTATCTGCCTATTGGAGAGTGGAGGAAGGACGATAGGGTTCTTTGCCCAACCTTAGAGAGTGAAAGGAGGACGATTCTCTAGCCAACACTTGAAGAGTTGTAAAGGACGACGGTTCTCTGCCGGAGCACCGGGATAGTTATGAAAGGAGAGTTTTGTAAAACTTCTCCGCCTTGATGGTGGGTGCAAAAGGAGAGTCACTAGTGGTATTAGTGCAATACTCGGAGGGTGCCTCCGGGGAGTGGATGTAGGTCGTGTTTGACTGAACCACATATAAAATCTTGTGTCTTTTTATTTTTCGCTGCTTTTATTTTTAACTTTTAATTTGTGGTTGAAAAACTTTTTCTACAAAATTCACTAAATTTATTCTCGGTTTAAAATTCAAAAAAGAGGGAAAATTTTTAATTACCAATTCACCCCCACCCCACCCCCCCCCCCCCTCCCCCCCCCCCCCCTTAGTTAGCCGCCTGGGATATAAGCTTAGGTCTAATAACCTAATATCATATTAAACAAGTTTCAACACACTTGGGCCCTTCATTATATTGAGATGAATTGTTTGTTAGATAGGGTATGATCGCAACTTCTTCACATGCTTGTCAAATTCAATGATCTTGGCCATTTGCGATCTTGAGATATATACTATACACCCATTGAATTAAAATCTGATTCTCTAAGATATAATTCAAGTTTGGATCCACAAGTCATTTCTCCTTGTTATAGTTAATTGGCTTTCATCTTCAATTGTGAATGACTACTTGTACCATTGTGTGTTAAGATTATTATTTTTTTTGAAAATATCATTATGCCTCCACGTGCAGGAAACCACACAAGGCTAATAACATGGTAGTTGAGTACTTGCTGTTCAGCTTGGATGAACATGATGCAATTTGAGGCTTTGATTTGTTATTCATACAAAGCCCACTTCTGTGATAACTCCATCCAATTTCTTTATAGTTCATGATGTTCAATTCTCTTACGAATTCGATTCGAGTTCCTTATAATTCATGATTGATTCAAGTTTTCATGCTCAATCAAATTAACCTTTCTTGATCAAGTTTTGTCTCAAATCTTTAACTTGATTATTCAAATTTGAAATTAGTTTATTTAATACTCAAGTATTCAAGTCATTTGCAATGTCCAAATCAAGTTCATTTATAGTGTTCAAGCTCAATGTAAGCTCTGGTTTTTGCATGAGTCTAAATCAAGTGCACAAATCTGCTGCTAACTTGTCCAAGTCCTCTTTAGTCATTATTCGGTTCAAGTTCTTTGCAACAAGTCATTTGAGTTCAATAAGTCCAGCCTAAGTTCATTTTTGTTCAAGTCCTACACATTTTCAAATAAAATTTCGGCCAACTTCCGGCGTCTCCCCTTTTAGGGAAAACACTAAGAGGCAACCTTCCTTGGACGCTACGTGAGCGCTTCAGGTAGGTTTTCAAGATGACACCGCGGTTTGCATATTATTGTTAAAATCCCTGCCCGTAACGTGAGCGTTTAAGGGTTTGGAGCAACATATTAAAAAAAAAAAAAAAAGTTCCCCCAGACATTACGTGAGCGTTTGGGGGTACTTATTTAAAAAAAAAAATTATCCCTCTCCCTCGCCGCAAGCGTCACACCGGTTTCCCTCCCTACAACGTTACGTGAGCGCGTAGGGGGTTTGCCGATCCCATTGCAAGCATTGAAGAAAGGATTTTGTTCGTTTGCCAGCGCCACGCCGGTTTCCCTCCCCACAATGCTACGTGAGCACGTAAGGGGTTTTGCCGGCCCGTTGCAAGCGCACGAGAGGGTTTTTTAAAAAAAAAAACTTACTAATGATAGCATAAAAATAAAATAAGGATTATAATAATAATTATAATTACTCTAATATATTATAATTTATTAATTACTCTAATTTATTAATTATAATTAATAGTTATAATGATAATCTAATTATTATTTATTATTATAATAATTAATAATAATAAATAATATAAGTAATTAGAATTATTATAATTATAATTAACGATTAACTAATCATTAATTAACAAAACCAATAGAATGAAATGACAGTAGTTTTACCTACTGTATTGAGTTGAGATCGGGTCGGGTATAGGGTTACTTGGGTTCGGTTAGGTATATGAGAATGGGAAGAGGAATTGGCTTAGGAAGAATAGAGAAAGGGATCGGGTGAGAGGCGTCAAATGGGGTTTGGCCAGAGTTAGGATGCTCGCGAGCTTCAGTTCGACGGGAGGAAAGAGATACGAGATCTGGAGGAGTTTGGATGGGGAAGCTAGAGCAGAGGTCAGGCTAGGTAAGTCTTTCTCATCTCTCTCTCTCTCTCTCTCTCTCTCTCTCTATCTGAGATCGGGATCAGGAGGTGTGTCGTCGGCTTGTGGAGGTTTGCGGGAGAGGGCCTCGGCTCTAGAGTTTGCGTGGAGTTTGTGAATGGGAGAGAGGGAGAAGCGAATGGGGAAGAGCATAGGGAAGAGGGGTTCGGGACAGAGAGCAGTCGTGTGTTGAGAGAAGGAGCCGAAAGGCTTCATTTGGCTTGATTTTAAAGCCATGGAAGAGCAACTATCGAGGTCTGCGAGGGATTTTCGGGAGACGACGTAAACGGCGCCATGCTACAGTACCTCGGCGGGATTCCTGTGGAATTTCGGGAGAGATTACAGAGGATTTCATGGATTTAGGTATGTAATTTGGGCTGAGTTTTGGTTCTTATCCTTAGGTTAACAGCCGATGATGTTCTGGATGCAACAGAGAAGCCCATTCTATGATTGAACATTGTTTGGGCGACGTCGAGTGCTGAAATCCTCAATTTACGTGTCATCATTTCGGGATTTGTGCCACTGCCTCGGCTGATCCCAATTAATCAAATAAGATGTATATTTTTAATGAAGATGGCATTTTGGATGCAACGGTGAAGTCCGTTCTGTGTTCGAACGTCATTTGGGTGACATTGAGTACCAAAATCCTCAATATACGTGTTTTTGCCTAAGAATTCGTGCTTCCACCTCGATTGATCCCCATCAATCAAATAAAATGTATATTTTGAATATTGACGATGCTTCGAATGTGACGGCGAAGTCTGTTTCAAGATCGGAGGTCATTTGGGCGACGTCAAGTGCCAAAATCTTGATATATACGTGTCATCGCATCGAGATTCATGCCACTGCCTCGGCCGATCCCAAATAATCAAATAGGATGTATATTTTAAATGTCGACGACGTTCCAGATGCAACGACGAAGTCCGTTCTTCGATCGGACGTCATTTGGGCGTCGTTGAGTGTCAATTCGGGGTGTCGGTCATCCCTTTGGACTGATCTCGTCCAAGTTGTCTGTGTGGGGTCTTGACTTAGGAAAATTCGATGTCCTAATCACGATGGCACAATTCGTTTGGCAATTGAAGGTTGTTTGACCTTCCAAGTGATGTGTTCTGTCAAAGCGTGCATTGCTTGATTCTCCGGTTTTCGCCTATTTTCTTGTGTTTTTGCATATAGGGGTCAACACTTCTTATAATTGCTAATGATATCCCGAGGGTTTTCACTTCTTTCTGTGCATCATGCAACCCTTGCCTCATACTATTTTAATCATCATTAGATGTTATGATTTAGTTTTCGTATCTTTTTTTTTTCAAAATAGCTATTTACTTTGTTCAGTGCAAACTACGACACTTGCACCTTCATGTTCTCACCAGCTACATCTCGTCAACCCATACACACGTGACATGTGCTCGTGCAATCTTAAAATCAAATGAACTGTTATTTTCATTGATCATTATTTAGATTCAAATTAATGCTTTGTCAATCAAAGTTTACTTTCTCTCTAAACCTAATATGTTACACATCAGAATCATGGTTCTCCATCCATGAGACACCTCCAATAGCATATGTGAAATTGGAGATCATAGAAGCAACTGATATGAAGCCATCAGATCTAAATGGTAATTTATGGTTCTATTTTATTTTATCAAGGAAATTCAGATTTAATTCTAATGTTTAGATATTAGATTTTAACATAAATGTTAATTTTGATATGCAGGACTTGCTGACCCTTATGTGAAAGTCAATCTTGGTACTACTAAACTCCAAACAAATATTCAAAGAAAAACCCTATCTCCAAAATGGTTTGAGGAGTTCAAGATCCCTATCTCATCATGGGACAGACCAAACCATTGTTTCTTGAAGTTATTGACAAGGATCACATTTTCGATGACATGCTTGGGTCTTCTCCGCACTCTTATTTAAGATTGTTTAGACGCCTTTATTTTTTTACTTCTATTAATTAGTAACAAAAATATTTTTCTACTATTAGAGGGGGTGGGGTGGTGGGGGGGGGGTCTTGTCGCATGAATTAGTTTTTATTCTTTACTAATTTAAGAGCCAAACAGAGTTAAGAGTCTTTATTTCTAGTTTCCTTATCATAATGGATATAAGGTAACAATAACAATCTGCTTCTTATCTATATGATTTTTGGTTACAAAAGTCCATTTTGAAGATCTACTTCTAATATTCAACTGAATAAATTTGGGGTTGGGTTGCATTACATTGACCGGACATAAGCATCTTCTGTACCATGCACATCAGCATAGTTCTATTCACTTTTCTTGGTTTCACTATATGATGAACCATTGCACCTTGATTGATGAAGATCAATCAATCAACCGCATCAATGTGAGGTTTCCTATTAAGAGGCCATATTTCAGCTGGTTTTGCAAACTACTCCCAATCAGCCAAGTTGAAACCCTTCAGAAGAGCTAAAATTGGGCATATTTGAACTTTTTTTTATTCCTTCTAAGTTTCTTCTGAAAATCTCCTCACGTTATCCATCTGGATATTATTACCATTTCTTTCTACTAAAAGCTTATATATTCATCCGATTTTTTCTGCTTTTTTTGAAAATCTCCTCTTTCAGGTTCATTATCATTTCTTCATTTTCTTTTGAAAAGTTTCCTCTCCCATGTTCTCTATCTAGAAAATTATCACCATTTTTTTTCTACTAAAGCTTGTATATTCCGCAGAGTGTGTTCTGTAAACATCAGTAAATTAAGGGGTGGACAATGATAAAGGGTTGAATCTGGGGAACATAAAAATGGGAAAGCTACATTTGGCTATCACTGTATGTGAAGATGAGATGGTATGTGTTTTTAACGCTTCAGGAGGAAGTACCATACTTACATTATCTCATATATACATAATTTTCTATAACCATATCTCATGCTTTTGATCAGGAATTATCAACACCCAAACCAAACACAAATGTAAAAAACAAGTCTGAATCATTTGAAGAACATCACTCTGCCATTGAGGAATTTGAACCCATCAACATAGAAGGGCAAGACAAAACAGGAGTATGGATACACCGACCTGGAAAAGAAGTTTGCCAAACATGGGAGCATAGAAAAGGACGCTCGCAACGTGTGGCTTAGACTGAACTGCTGCCAGATGGCAACGAAGTTGCCGACAGCACAAGCTCAGAAGCATCTGGAACTCAAGGTACTGATGAAAATATAGATGTAAAGAGATTTCGCCGACATGGTACAATAGGGCGGGGACTCCAGAAGCTTGGTTCTTTGTTCCAGAGGTACCCAAAGCAACAAAATTCAAGTGAGGAAGAGGAAGTTATTCCAGCTCCACGTTCCAATATCAGGGAACTTTACAGTGAGGGGACAGCAGTAAAGTTTATAATTGATGATAATCTTATTGTTGAAACTAGAGATCACAACATTAGCCCAGGGAAGATTGTAATGGAAAGTCAAGAAAACAAGGCTACAATGAAGAGCAAATCCGAGGAAATTGTTGCAGCTTCTGAGAAGGATTCTACTCGATCCAAGCCAAATCAAACACTGTTGGGGAAAAGTTCATTGAATGATTTCTTACTTTCTGATGAAGGGTCAAGTATAAATGTTTCTCCCTCAAAGATGAATTCTAAATTCTGAGAAGGATATTAGGAAATAATCTATCAATGGAGTAGAAAATGCAACAGTAACGATTTAGATAAAGTGATGTAATTAGCACTAAAGTTGGTGTGCTCTTGTTAATATTTGTATGTTTTTTTTTTCTTGGCATACTCATGTAGTGACCTTTTCTGTTGTACATCAGCTTATTAAGATTGTGAATACTATTCATTCAAAATCTGAGTACAAATACAAAATTTGTGATTGTATATCACATTCTTCAAGTAGAAACCTCCCGTACAATCAATGTTTACAGAAAGCATTTTCTAATTTTTAAATAGCTAGATATTAGAAGTCAAGTACGATATAAATTGATCTTTATAAGATAAGATATTTTTGAGAATTATTATGTAAATCCAAATTTATACGGGGTGGAGAACAATATAGCTGGTTCATAATGAAGGGGAAAAAAACGATATTTCAAGATATAACGTTAATTTAAAATAATAATAATGTTGTCCTTTTAATTGTATGATAATTTTAAAAAACAAGTCAATTCGCTACACAATAGCGTTTCTTTATCAAGAACTTGGCTACCTTGGAGCTATCAAACTGCTCAAAAACAAACTCCTGTGATCTAAAACAAAGCATAATTGCCACAACAATTATATAGAGCTGACCCAGAATTTAGTAGAAAGGAACTCATGACTGATGGTATACAAAAACAGTAACATGTTCAATCTATCAATAAAATAACTTTTCAAACACATAATTAGATGAACAATGATAAGTTTGCCTACACTGTAAACTGCAATACAATAGCCTCTATAGGTGAATTGTAGGTATTTCAAACTATTTGATGGAAGCTTCATCCGTTTGCATGCTATCTTGAGCCCCTGCAGTAGACTCTCTTCTTCCAATCTTACAAGTGAATTTGGCGATCAAAGAATTTTGTGCAAAGATGTAGATACAACAAATGCACAATCCTGCTCAATAAATCACTGCAGTTAGATACCAAACCACTTTAAAAATATGAACAACTCGTGCAATTCATGGTTTAGGAAAAGTAGAATAGTTTAAATTTCCTTCTCCCTAGCTTGTAAAGTGTTTTCAAGAATATAGGGAGAAAGGAGTGAAAAAATAGGGAAAGGGAAAAGACATTTAGAGAATAAATTTTACCAGCATAAGCAATTGTAGCGCCAGATGCCATTCGTCCAAAAACAGATTGTGCGTAGAGAATAACAATCACCTGAAATTTTGAGAGTTTTAGTAGCATACACTTTCAGATGATACACAAGTTAGATTCAGTAAAATATGAGGCCGGTAAAAATGTCTCTTTTAAATTCATTTTGCATTTACATATTAAGATATAAAACCCCTTATTTATCTTGCCATGGGCGGATCCACCCTATGCCGAGGGGAAGCAATTGCCCCCCTTAAAAAACTAAAAAAAAAAATTAATTATATAATTATTTAGGTAATTTATCCCACTCTATCTACTTTTTAGTCTTTATTATATGGATTTGTAGGCAATTGCCCACCCCCTAAAAGTTTTAAAATACTATGGTATTTAGACAATTGTCCCCAGCATAATCAAAAGATGATCCAAATACAAAGATCAATAGTAAGAAAATCTAAAAATATCCTTAAAACCAAAATTTGTTCCGGAGGCACTGCCCCTGGAAACCCCCGCATATCTGCAAAACGTATAATGATCAAATATATGAACAAATATGGGTCAAGCTGACTTCAAGACAAAAAAAAATACTCTACACTTTTTGCCCCTCCTGAAAATTAAGGCTGGATTCGCCCCTTACCTTGCCAAAGAATTTCTGCAGTCTACCCCAAAACTAAATATTCTCAGCTACAGCTGCCCATAGTTAAATATGTGCCTTATTCTATCTAAGAAATGGACACAGAAAAGTCCCATTAAATGCTGCAAATATTTTATGTTGTGCATGCAAGTCAAAGTGCTTTTTGATCCATTAAAACATATGGATATGAAGATAAATAAGTTGCCTTGATTTATATTTTGAGAATTTGAAGTTCAAAACTTATTGAAGAAAATGGATAAAAATCCTGAATTTTTTTTTTCTTCCCTCTGGTTAGAAAGGACTAAAATTTTCTACTTCCCTACAAAAATAGCAATGGAGAGAAAAATATACAAGAAAATCCTAATATAAAAAAAATCTTCAACGTACATGACTTGACCTCATTTCATGAGCCTACTATCAACTCCTAAAGTTTTTTTTTCTTTCCACATTTTTTTATGAATTGCATGCAAACCCCTACCAAAAAAATTTATTAGCTTGTTCTTAAAACTATTTAGTTAATGGAATTATGTCCATTATTGATGGTGGACTCAAATGACAGCTATTGCATCGGAATTACAAATTTGTTTATGGTGACTCAGAATACTTTCCAAGAAGCATAAAATGTTTGATGAATTTTTTTTATAAATATCAAAAGTTTAATTTCCTTGAGTCAAATTTTTCCGAGACAATCAAACTGATGTGGAACTGCTACTTTTGGCGTTTTTTGCTTCCAAGTCAAATGATTGTATGTATTTTGTTTACATGTTAAGTGTTTGGTATAAAGAAAAAGAAATGCAAAGTAAATTTTTTAGTATTAGAAATAATGAAACCTCGTATTTTCTCTGCAAATGAAATGCATCAAGATTAGTCACCTTTCTTTCTCCACAACAACAACAACATCAAGCCTTTATCCCACTACGTGGGGTCCGCTACATGAATCCTTTTTCTCCATTGTGTCCTATTAAAAGTCAAATTCTTGTTTAAATCTAATAAAGAAAGGTCATTCCTAATATTTTCTAACCAAGTCTTTTTAGGTCTACCCCTACCTTTCTTAACATAAGTCAAATCTAATACCTCTACTCTCCTAACCGGGTCATCGGAAGGCCGCCGTTTTATGTGACCAAACCATCTAAGGCGACTCTCTCTAATCTTATCTTCTACTGGAGCTACTCCAACCTTTTCACGTATATGCTCATTTTGTATCCTATCTCTAAGGGTAAAGCCACTCATCCACCTGAGCATCCTCATCTCTGTCACACTTAGTATTATGCTTCTCTTTTAATGGCCAACATTCGGCACCATAAAGCACTGCAGGCCTCACTACCATCTTATAGAATTTTCCCTTAAGTTTGAGGCTTCCATTTCTATCACATACCAAGCCCGATGTATTCCTCCACTTCAACCATCCAACTTGAATTCTGCTGATAATATCCCCATCAATTTCACCATCACTCTGAACAATAGATCCAAGATACCTAAAACGTGTACTCTTATTAATGACTTGATCGCCCAAAATCACAATCCCCTCACTAGGTCTATTACTACTAAAATTACACTCCATATATTCCGTTTTAAATCTACTCAAGCGATAACCTTTTAAAGACTCTAAAGGTTGAACCTCCATAATTCAAGATTTATACCTTTCAACTCCTCTCTAGTCTTATCAACAAGAGAAATCATCAGCAAAAGCATACAGCAAGTACATCCTCTTGCAAATGTCTAGGAGAACATCCATGACTAAAGCAAAAAAGATATGGGCTTAAGGCTGATCCTTGATGTAACCCAACGAAATAGGGAAATACTGGTCAATCCACCTTGTGTTTGAACACAAGTAAAAGCTCCTGCATACATATCTTAAATGATTTGAATATAAGCATTATTAACTCCTTTCTTTTCAAGAACTCTCCATAGCACTTCTCTTGGAACTTTCTCATATGTTTTTCTAAATCAATAAATATCATATGTAGATCCTCCTTATTTTTCTCTATATTTCTCCATCAAACCTCTTAATAAATGTATGGCTTTCATAGTCGCCTACCGGCCATGAATCCAAATTGATTTTGAGAAACATTAGTATACACGCCGCAACTATGCTCCATAACCCTCCATAGTTTTAAAGTATGAACACATAACTTAATACCTCTATAATTCGCACAATCTGTGCATCACTTTATTCTGAAAAACAAGAATTAGCACACTCATTCTCCACTCATCTGGCATCTTTTTAGTCTTTAAAATAGTATTAAAAAGTTTAGTAAGTCTTGGCAATTCCTTCATGTCCTAGAGCATTTCCACACCTCTATTGGGATATCATCAGGTCCAACAACTTTTCCACCCTTCATTTTCTTTAAAGTCTCTCTAACTTCAGTTTTACTAATACGCCGATAAAAACATAAATCTTTATTTTCATTTAGGGTGCTAAGGTCACTATAGTCAATCTTATTTTCACAATCTTCATTAAAAAGTTTAGCAAAATATCTCATCCATCTTTGTTGAATATCATCTTCTAAGAAAAGTATTTTTTGATCTTCATCTTTAATACACTTCACTTGAACTAAATCCTTATTACTCCTATCTCTTTGTTTGGCTAACTTATACATATATCTTTCTCCCTCCTTAGTATTTAATCTATTATATAAATCACTAAAAGCTAATGTCTTTGCATCGCATATTGCTTTCTTAGCATCCTTACAAGCCACTTTATATATTTCCCAATTATCAAAAATTTTAAAATTAAACCAATTTTTATAACAAAACTTCTTATTTTTAATCTTTTTCTTGCACATTTGGATTGCACCACCAACTACTTTTACTATTAGGAGTTTTTCCCTTTGATACTCCAAGGACATCTTTTGCAATATTCTTAATATCACTAGCCACTTTTTCCCACATAATATTAGCATCCTCATGCACAGACAAAATCTTAAGATCTAAAATCTTATTTCCAAAAATATTTTTGTTAATATTCTTTAAATGCCCCCATCTAATCCTAGGAAATTGTTTTACTTTATTTTTTATTTTATGTCCATTTATCTTAAAGTCCAAAACTAATAATCGATGTTGAGTACATAAATTTTCACTCGGAATAACTTTACAATCTTTACAATCTAAACGATTTAGTTTTCTAATAAGAAAATAGTCAATCTGTGTTGTACTATATCCATTTTTATAAGTGATGAGATGCTCATTCTTTTTCTTAAATAAGATATTAGCAATTGAAAAATCATAAGCTAAACAAAAATCCAATATAATCTTGCCACCTATTCGTCGTTCCAAATCCATGGCCACCGTGAATGCTTTTAAAATCATCTACCTCTCTATCAATATGTCCATTTAAATCTCCTCCAATAAAAACTCTTTCTTCAAGATGTATCTTTTGTATTAATTCTTCTAAGTTATTCCAAAAATTTAATTTAGAACACATATCCAAACCTACTTGAGGAGCATAAGCACTTATAAGATTAACAATCTTATCATCAACAACAATCTTTAAAGCTATAATTCTATCTCCGATCCTATTAATTTTTATAACATTATCCTTTAAACTCTTATCTATAATAACACATATACCATTTCTAGTATGACTCCTACTCGAATACCAAAGTTTAAATCCTAAACTATCAATTTCTTTAGCCTTCCCTCCAACCCATTTAGTTTCCTGAATGCACAAAATATTTAACTTCCTATGAATCATAATATTTTTTTTATTTTTTTTTTATTTTTCTTTTTTATTTTTTTTCTTATGAATCATAATATCTATTAATTCCATTAATTTTCCTGTAAGGGAACCTATATTCTAAGTTCTTATCCTAATTTTAATTTCATGGACTAGCTTCTTTGCCCACATCCGTTGTTGATGTGGGAACCCTTACCTATTTAACACTGCACCCGGCCGCCGGTGCAGCGGCCTTTACACACTTGTCACTATATTCAGGTCATACAGCACGTCTCTTCCAGGGGACGCCCTAGCATTAACACAATTTCTTAAAGGATTCATGTCATTATTGTTCGACAAGTTTTAGCTGGTTGTTGACTACCTAACGCAACCCTCCACTTTTTTCATCCAGGACTTGGGACCTGGTAACGGCAGTGTTAGTCACCTTTCTTTCTCCCTATGAACAAAATAAGGATGAAAATAGCATCTAAACAATGGGCAATGGTGTGAAGGGCATTGGATGTTATTCGCTGCGATCCCAACCTTACTCTCACATACCATCATCCTTGTCTCCATCTTTTTTTTTTTTTGAAAATTGCAAAATGCATTAAGAGAAAGCCGAAAGAAAAACTATTACAAGCTAGTAAATGCAGCAATCATACTCCTTCAAGATGTCAGACAGTGAAGAAGGAATATTAGAAAAATTAAAGGAATCAAAGCAGAAATTGTTATATAAAGCGAAAGAGGCACACTCATCCGCGGCTTTATTACAAATCCTGG